AAAGATTTGCCTATTTGTAACTCGACATCGGCGGACTGTTAAAGGTTTTGATTCCGAAATGTTTCGATGCGGGCAGTTTTTTACTCGGCTCTCAAAGTTGAATCCAAGTACGTATACTGTTATTACCTTTCGAGTTTTGATACTTTCTGTACGCCTGGTTATAAGATGCAAGAAACTAAATTCACTTGATAATGTAGAAATCATCTTGCGCCTTTACATTAATTAAATATGTTGAATTCGAAGCCTATAACATAACCTACTAAAATCGAGTCTTACCTTTTCACAAGTAACGACGATGTCCTTTGCCAGCCAGGACAACTTTTGGTTGAGCAATTTTTGACAAGTCGGTTCGTTTGTGCATGAAATAGGCTGTGTCTCAGTAATCCTTAAAAAGCTTAGCTTGTTCCACTAACCAGGAGAGTTGTATGCAATATGTCGGTAAGGAAATTTCTCTCCTCGAAAGCCCAGCGGATTCCTAGAAATCACGTGCACATTACGTCAATGTGAATTGTGCTCAAAATAGCGCAAAAAAACGCTACACGAAAGAACGCATCGCACCACAATGTAAATGGGAATTGAACTGAAGAGCGAGATTTATATCAGTTCAAGTGTTGTACATGGTTGGATTCATGGCAACCAATTTGCTAACGGTGGGTTCGATTCTAAAATTCATTCGAGTCTGTGGCCTCTTAGTATCTTTGGGCAGGAAGATTACTCGGTTCCAGACCCCTAGGACTCGATACTCACAAGATGTTCAATAAAGGCTATCCAAGTTCATCCCCCTCGTGTACACAAACGAGTCTTCGTGTGATCGACACTCTTAACTCAGTGGTTACAATTTTATTTGAGACCTCGATATCTTAACAAAACACCTCAGCCTTGCCCCTCTTTGCCTTTCTCTTTACGCATTCCAGATCTCCTCTCCAAAAGGTCTAGTTGTTGCCTCCTTAGAGAAAATAGAAATAACTTAAAATTTCATCGATTTTTATTTTTATAACCTTTTTAGTGATTTAAAGTATGTTGTGGTTTCCTATAAAAAGAGCGCGTGTACGAATTGTTTTCCAGAAGGGATGGAATAGGAGACGAAAATGATGTTTCAATGTAACCAAGCTTCGCTTTGTCACAACCTATATGTAAAATATTTCACCGGACTTCGCGGCAAGGGCAAGCTGTGAGTTCGATCCTAACTTTACTATTTCTTCTCTTTTGAAAGGGGGAGGGCTTGAGGGCTTTGCGGTCCGATTTCCTACAGCCCACTCACTTGTTCATGTCAACTAATTTCTGCTGACCGAGGGCAAGGGGTGAGGTACTCTGGGGTACGTGCCGCTGGTCTCTTAGATCCCCTGCCCCATCTTATAATCACTTTTGGCGACACGGTAACAAATTTTCATCCACATATCTTCTCATCTTTAAATCCTAACTTACCTGAATAATCTCCCCCCCCCGCCCCGCCCCAAAAAAATAAAAATAAAAAAATAAAACAACCCCGAAAAGCTGCGAGTCCATTGTAGTAACACAATGAAAATGCAACCCCAATAGTTAAAAAGGCGACCCAATCCAGCGGTACCCCGCGAGGCTGCTAACGGGTCGATCTACAAATCCTCCGTGTAACTCCTCGGAAATTTAGAATTTAGTAGATTGCTTGGTTCGAATTCCAGCCCTTGAGGCCAAAAATGTGTTCAAATGCTCTATCCAATTTTATTTTATAAAAGGCCAAATCAACGACCTTGTCTATTAATAGATTGACAAAGCTGAAAGATTTTAAACTGATCTCTTGTCAAGTCTTACAACCTAGACCTTGAAGACGTTTTCTTGTGGGCCATTCGCTTGCGAATTTTAAACACCTCAAGTTCCGGTTCAAATTCCCCACCCCAGCCCAGCTAGGCGATGCACAAACTCCCCACCCCTTCGCACGGACGACAATAAAATAGATGCGGCTTTCCTAGGGGAGAGGGGGGATCGGTCACATGTGGGTTACTCTGCCTCCATCATTGTGTGACGGAATCCCTGTTATGGCTACACTGGCAGCATTGCATATGAAAGTCATCTTGCCCCCACGTGTTCTCTACCATTTCATTTAATTTTGGAGACCTAAAATTTGAAAAGAGGGTTGTCCAGTTTTCTCACTCCAACTGCTCAGGCTTCAAAGGATGAACGAAATCAAACGAATCAACATTGGCGCTTTACTGAGGGCGACTTCTTAAGGTATCTGTACATCTCTATGCTAACTTTCACTTTCCCTTTTGACGATGTCGAATTTACATGTGGGGATGTGAATCAAAGGTTGTTATTCCTGTAACATGCACGTAGAAGAAACTAGGCAAGAGTACCATATAACCTCATACATCAATTATGCATTCAGTCTTTGTTCAATGAAAAGATCTGAAAACAATAGCGATAACAATAGAACTTCCCAGAGACTAGTAGTCTTTGTTTTCAAAATTTGGATTTTTTTTTCCGAAGCCTTTTTTGAAACAGGGTAAATTTGGCGCGTTCTGGATGTCGCCCGATTTACGAACGACCGCTCGTAGGATGATCGTGTTTATTCCGGTCGCCGATTTCCTATTTGCAGGCACAACCATCGTAGATTATTTGGAGGACAGATTGGGATCAACAGGTTATTTCGTCCCAACACTTGAGGTGACAATACTGTGGGATTAGCCCTAAATCCTCTTATTACCTAGCAACCGCGCTCGACTTATAAATATCCTGATGTGATTTTGCAACAGTTCATTTGACCTCAGGCCTTGATCTTGTAAGCTCCTCTTCCCATCAAGTGTAGAGCGTTAAATATATACTTGGCCTCCACTCTTCCTACTTCGCCTCCGATCATCGCACAAATACTACGAATTATGGCGCTTGTTTCGTCGCTCATTTGAACAGTTCATTTGTCCTTCTATTTTTACTTAACAATTTGCAGAAGGATTTCCATAGAATCAGAAAGACTGTTCATAAAGTTGTTTCACATATCGGCTTGGGGAGCACCTTTTGTGATCACTGTGGTTGCCTATTTCTTAAACGGAGTTCAATTTTTGGCAAACTTTGAAACTGGGTACAAGTGCTGCATCTGGAAGGAAAAAACTTGGAAGACAATGTGAATCTGGGTGGCCATTTCAGGAGAGGGCTGGACCATCATAACATACATTACCATGACCGTGTTCTACATTTTGGTTAAGCAGCGCATAAGAAGAGAGGTATTAAAAAACTGAAATTATGGTGGAAAATTTTTGATAAAGAGTGCTCGGAGGAAAAGGTTATTTTTGCACTCAAGCAAAAAAGGCCCAACCTGAGGCTGAGCTTATCCTGTTTTCTGTTGCTTGAAAGTGCAAGGGTGAAAATTCTTATCAAAGTCATCTCCTCCAGCTTTTTTGTCAAGTTTCCCAGATAGTTTGCCAATAATCCTGGCTTATTTATACCTTTAAGGGAACAGACCCACAGGGAGAGTTAAGTGTGCATAGCTGTCTCAAGAACACAACAACATCAATTAGCATTTGTTTATAAATGAAATAAATTTAACCAAATCCTGTCACTCCCCTTTGTTTTTGGAACAATTACCTCCTTTGTATCATGACCCACCTCCAGCACATGTCTTCTGAGGAAAAAAAAGTCAAGTCTGACCTTAGCCAAGTGACCCCCTTTGTGCCTGGCAAAGTTTAACCCAGTCTTTTGTATGAAAGGAGACTGGAAATGTAGCCCCTCCATGGTTCTTCCACTAGTATTCCCAGCATGACAGTTTCTTCCCTGAGTTCATACCCTCAAGTGGAGAGAGATACCCTCAAATTTAACCTGAGTGAGTGACTAGCAAGTAGTTTCTCCATATGCTAGAAGCCCTGAATCAAACATCAAGGTCATAAGAATATTAAGGAGTTGATCACCAACTAAAGAAGCTGTTCACTGTTAAACGAATTATCCATGTCAGCATCTAAAACTAAGTATATAGAACAGTATGGAGAATATGCACATTGATATAAAGATGTGTCTAATGCCAAAATAGTAACATTATGATAATAACTCAGTCAGCACTCCAACTAAAGTAGGTCTTCTCAGTCCAGTGTTCAGAATCCTATAAACAACTGGCTGGACCAAGTAATTTTAACTCATTGAGGACAAGAAAGATATGAGATTCCTATAACTAAGTGTATACCTTGCATTTTATGTACTAATGAAGTCAGCAGGGAAATTTACACCTTAAGCTTAATACTGGTAGCTAATGCAACTTGGTTCTCTTTAATTTTCAGTGTATGCCTATACACTCCTTCACTTGCCACCTGTAGCTTCCTTTTCCTTTTTGCTCACTTCATAATCAGTCTAACTTGAACTGGCACAGTTACACTGCAATCAACACTTTCCTCTCTTTTTTTCTAGCTCAAGTCAAGATTTTCTCCAGGAAGTGCATTTTTTACATGGAAATCTGCTCATGTTGCAAGAATGATCACCACAAGTTAACATTTATTCCTGTGGTATTTGTCTTGGAGCATATATGGGGAACCATAAGATTTTTCCTCCTCTTAACACATTTCTATGAACAAGGGAAGCTGGATTCTTCTTTACAATGGCTTGAAATTCTTTACGTAAGTAACAATGCCCTGTACTATCACTAATAAATATAATGGACCTGTAATATTAAGATTTAATTGCTACACCTTACCTATGGTCTTGAGCATGCTTTGGAGAATCACCAAGTTTGGCACAAGAGTCTCAATTGCTCTTTTCTTTCCATCTCTAATGTTACAAATTTGTTTGAACAGTTGATTCAAAGCTACACAAAAGAACATTTCTAACTAAAAAATACTTTGATCTATGTCATGACTAGACTAGCAGAAGTACATGTTTGTGAACTACATGAATATTCTAAGTTTTGTGTGTGCAGACTAGATACTTGAGTCTTTTTTTTGTTTCAAAGTAGTGAAATTTGTAATCAAAATTTCAATACATCTGAGGT